TCGTCCACGCCGGCTGCCAGGAAGTAGTGAAGCATTGCATTCATAAGTTCCTCCCGGCTGGCAGAACGTCTGTCGCGGTTGAGTTCTCGAACCCTTTCGAGAAGGTTATGTTTGACTTCCATTGCCTCCTCTCGGGCTCGGGATGCCCTGGCCATGGCAAGATCATCCAGCGTGCTCCGGTAATCGCCTGACCTGAAGACGACATCAAGGCGTGTTGTCCGACGAGAATAAGTTGGATCCATCCGGCACATAGATTCAAGTCAATCAAGTCTTCTTCCGTGAGGTTGTACTTCATGTGGTTGTGGTGGTTGACCCTAATGCGGAAACCCATGTGCTGGACTTTGAAGGAACCGATCTCGTCGAAACGAATGACATCGTGATACAAGCCGGCAAGGGCGTACCCGTGCTGCTGATCGGCGAGTTTCGTAAGCGGACTCAAGCGCTCGATCAGGTGACGAGTACGGACAAAGTCCTTTTATTCATCAGTGTCGATCAGGCTTGCCTTTTCCTTAGCCCCAGCAATGTTCTCAAAGGCTTGCTCGTTGTTGGCCTCTGCTTCTGCTGTCGCTCTGGCTTCCGCTTCGTAAGCCCCTGGCTCCACGATGTTCTTCTGCTTCCCCCAGATGCCCTGGTCGTGAAGTTTCTCTTCATCTGATGCATCTGCGGAGGAAGATGAATTGATGTCAGGCATGGGTTCCTCACCAGGGGGTGAGCTTCCCGTTGCCTCATCAGCATCGTGTTTGCCAGTGTCACCGGCATCCTCCATGTGCACGTCCTTGGTTCCCGATACCTCTTCAAAAGAAGAGCGCTCGGGCTGCTCGACCTTGACACCAGATACGTCTCCAGAGGCAGAGCCTCCTTCTGCTGCATCGGTCTCCAATGGTGCACTTGTAGGTTCCTGTTTTGCTGCACCAGCCGTCTCTCCAGAGGGAGAGTGCGATGGCGCATCAGTGGAACTGCCGGCGGCATTCATGGGCTCGTCGACCTCCTCGATGGTTGGCCCAAGGAGCTTATCGATGAACTCCTCAACAGCGAAGTCCTCATAGGGCCTCGAGTAGAAGTCTTCGATCTAGCTGGCGCACCTGGCACGGAGGTTCTCGTATGCCATCAAGTCCACGTGAGCTTTCCTCCAAAGACAGAGGCAAACTTAATGGTGTTCATGTCCTTAGGTTGTCTGTCCAGCGCTGCCAGCACATAAGGCGCATTGAAGGGTTCACGCAAAGAGGAGTCAAAAAGGGTGTACCCCTCTGGGGTGTTAATCTTGTACTTGCGCCGAATGTTGGGGTCGGAAGCGTGCTTCTGAACGTAGGCGAAAAAGTCCGGGCCGTAAGCTTGGCAAATTGCAGAAACCTGCGTAAAGAAGTCCGTCCTGACGTTCTTGATCTCGTTGTATACATCCCTTTCAAAGCAGAAAGCCTTGTATACTGCGAGCTTCGCGGCATAGTCAGGATCATCCTTTTTAGGTTCCTTGTCACGAGGATCTTGCTCAAGTGGCATGCGGAACCACTTTCAAAGCAGAAAGCCTTGTATACTGCGAGCTTCGCGGCATAGTCAGGATCATCCTTTTTAGGTTCCTTGTCACGAGGATCTTGCTCAAGTGGCATGCGGAACCCGACCTCGGGGGTCGAAGGAGCGAACTCTCTGTGTTGAGCTTCACTGAGGCGTTCAAGAAGAGTGGTAATATCGTTACCGACGCCCTTGTCGAACGGGGACTTGCAGCCGTTGGAATAGGCCTTGGCCTTGCCGTTCAGCTCAACCAGCATGTTGCCCTGCATTTTCCCAATTCGAAAGTGTTGAGAAAGAAATGGACAACGTATCCGCCAAGCGGGTGGCAAAGCCACGACGCCCACTTGTACTCGGCCCCCAGAAGCTTCCGCACGTCAGTCGGCAGGCTGTTGAACGGTGTCGTCTTGACCAGTGCATCCCCGTAGGGAGCGTCCATTTTCCCTGTCGAATCCACGCGGTGAAGCAATCCGTGCTGAAAGAGGTGCCACGGATTGTATCGTGCTTTCTGAAGGATCTCCTTGAGCTCTTCCTCTTGTTGGAGACGGGTAGCGTCCACTCGTCCGTGAACGGTGTCAACCGAGCAGTATCTTCTTCAGCTGTGGACCTTTCGGCTGCCTTTTTGATTTCGGTCTCACGAGTAAGACGACGAAGGGCTTCCTCGTCCACAGCAGGTACCTCTCCAGAGGGAGAGCCTCCTGCAGGTGGGGACGAGTCCTCAGCCGAACTTGTGCTCGTGCTTGAGGCCACCAGGGTCCTTCTCGTGAGGAGGACGGTAGTGACCGGTAATGGAACGTCAGGTACATCAGCGCGATATCGTTGTAGGAGAAAACGACTCCATTGTCAGTCTAATAGAGCTCATGTCCATGGTTGAAAAATGCGCCGACATCAAACATCGCATAGAAGATGTTGCTGCCGTACCTGATCACCGTCCCAGGACCGGGAGACTCAGAGCCGCCGGCGTACACGAAGTGAATCGCCAGATGGTGTCTCTGCCAGCCAAGCCTCGTTGCCCGCAGCGAGATTCCATTCTGCTTAATGGACTCGTAGTTCTGCATGAAAATGCACCCGAGCTGTTGACAGCGCTGCAAAGTCAACCGCTCCCGACGACCCGCTTTCGGACAAGTCCCTACATTGCTGAGATTCCAATGCTGAAATCCCACGCAATGAAACAGTCGAAAGAGAGAGCCACAGGAGCGACCAGGTCTGAAAGAGACCCTTTTAGAGTTGGCCATGAGGACGGCGAAAGACTTCCTCGGCGCCCATCCAAAGCGTCTCGCTCCAGGGAGGCCTCCATATACGTTCCCAGACGGAGTTTCTGGCTGTCGCAACAAGCCAAACAAAGCCTTTGAAGACTTGGCTGCCCAGCCGTTCTGGCGACTCCGCATATTGGAGATCTCCTCGATGTCGTCGGCGATTTCGTGCCTCTCCAACGAGGATCACAACCATGCAAGACAGCAGCAAAGGAACTCATACTTCCAGACCAAATGGTCCTGGAGAAGACGAGTCCCAGGATGGCTGTCCTCGTAGGACCTAATGTGTGACAGAAGTGCCAGCTGGGTCCGTCACAGCCATCTCCCCAAATGGGAAGTACGCTGTGACGTCCTGTTGCTCCTGTTGCCCCGGATGCTGTGGGACGCCCTCTGGCTTGAGCTTGATCGTGGCCGTGGTGATGCTGCGCGGTCATTTGCGATCAGCCGTATCTGTGTAGAGTACAGCGCCGTCACCTCCGATAGGTCGGAGCGCTCGGCGCTGCTGCCAGGAGATACTTTCCAGGTACTCTCTGCACAGCTGAAGGAGGTACCACTCCAGGTGGAGTGCTTCCTCCGAAGAGTCCCTCGGATCCTGGGGCGTCCGTAGCCATAGCGGTACCAAAGTGGAAGTGTGGGCAAACTTACGCACTAGAGGTTTGAACC